AAGCCTGCGAGGGAGCAGCCGCCCGCCGGAGACCGCCCCACCGGTCCGGGCACCGCGGGGCCGGCGCCAACCGCCGACTCCTCGGAGGACTCCGACTCCGACTCGGATTCGGACTCGGACAGGTCGGGTGCCTCCGGGCCTGGGGGCAGGGGCCCGCGGGCAGAGAGCCGGGCCGAGGAGCGTCGGGGGTCGGAGATCCGAGATCGCAGATCTGGAAGCTCAGGGCCACGTGTGGACACGGAGCTCGGATGCCGGTTTCTCGCCGCGGTCTCTGCAGGTCGCGTGGGAAACCGAGCTCAGCTCCCAGATGGCACCTGCTTTCTGATCCTGCCAGCCTAACTATAGACCGTATCCCGCGGGCAGAGAGCCGGGCCGAGGAGCGTCGGGGGTCGGAGATCCGAGATCGCAGATCTGGAAGCTCAGGGCCACGTGTGGACACGGAGCTCGGATGCCGGTTTCTCGCCGCGGTCTCTGCAGGTCGCGTGGGAAACCGAGCTCAGCTCCCAGATGGCACCTGCTTTCTGATCCTGCCAGCCTAACTATAGACCGTATCGTTTTTATTTAGAATATAGAAAACCCAAGAACATTAGGTTACTTCCACAGCTACCCGGTTTGACGCGTACTTTTTTGCTTGTAACTTTGTGATTTGTATCATTTTGTGTAAAAACAATTTTACTCCTATCACGTTTGGCGTGTCGTTATACTTAACAACCGGATGAATGGAGGATCATGTGAAAGGGATTATTTTGCATTTTTCAAAATTAGTTCTTCCCAGTTAATTCATAGAATCCTTCTATGGAGCACTTGTTCATGAAATTAGCTACATGCTGGTATCGATTACAGTATTTTATCCTCTGCACGTGTTTTATAAGAGCCTCTCTCCCCTCATGTCTTTTAAGTATGAACTTCTGTGACCGGAGAACACTTAGGCACGTGGGTCTTTAATAACTACACTGAACATTGTCTACAAATACTTGAGTGCGTTTGTGGGTACTGAATAGGTCAACAAGATTGGCACGTGGTGAAGAGTTTTCTCTTTTCAAGGAAATTATCAACTCAGACTAGGTCAGGAGAAGGGTGAAAGATTTGAGTCCAGGGAGAAAAGCATGAATTGAACTGTGAACAAAGTTGGATTTCTCTGCAGTACTAAATTTATAATCATCTGATATGATTTTAGAGACTGTGTACCAGGAATGGGAAGTAAGCGACAGATGATGTTGGGATGAGTTTTGAAGGACATTTAGGACAACATAGTATTGGGACACTACTTCTGACTATTTGTGGGTGATGGCAGAGTGTGTCCCATAGTTGAAAAGTAAAACGGGGTACAACTTTTTGCTGTATTAGCTTGGCAGTGTTTTTCATACATACACGTAGTTTTTGTCTTCAAGCTCTTGATAATCCACCTGGGAAGTCATGGTTTTCAAAGAATTATGGTGTGGTACCAGAGAGGCTGTAGTGGGCAGTCTGAGAAAGAGTGATCAGGGGAGGGAGTAGCTTCTACTTTTGGTAGGTATGGGCCCCCTCTGGGGAGGTAATGCAGTATTTGAATTGAGTCTTTAAAGAATGTACAATACTTTTTCTGGGCTGAGGACATTTAAGTCACAGGAAAGGACACAAATGATGTCATGTGGTTGGAAATTTGGCAAGTCCTTATAGGACTTGTAGCATACCTTGGAGATACTGTGGGTTCTGTTCTAGACCGCTGCAATAATGCAAATATGGCATTAAGCAAGTCACAGTTTCTTTGGTTTCCCAGTGCATTATAGAAGTTATGTTTAGGCTATATGGTCATCTATCAGTTGTGCAGTAGCATGGTGTCTCAAGTAGCAGCGTGTGTATATCACAGTTTAACAATATTTTGTTGCTAAAAATGTTGATGGTCATTGGAGCCTTTAGCAACTCTTGATCTTTTTGCTGGTGGTGCCAAAGGTTGGAGTGTGTTTTAGTGGATAATGGTTTGTCCTTCAAAGGTTCATGTTTTGGGATTTGGTCCTAGTGGGCAATGATTGGACCATAGAGTCATTGGCCTCATGAATCAATAAGTGTTGATTCTAGGAGAGAGTTCTAGGTCTCATGAGAAGGAAAGTTTTAGGTCTCATGAGGAGTTAATTCTCACAAGAGCAAGTTGTTGTAAAAAGAGAGGGCTGCTCATAGCTTGCTGGCTCTCTTTTTCTGCACATGCCTGCCATTCCGCTGTTCCTGTTGCAGGTCAGCCTTATGATTTTGGATTTTCTAGCCACCAGTACTGTGAGTTAAAGAAACCTCTGTTTCTTTATAAATCACACAATCTGAAATATTTATGTTAGCAATGCAGTAATAGACTAAAACATGGTAGTTTCTTAAGATAAAGGCAACAATGAACTTGGATTGACTCTTCTTTTCATGAAAGATTTTTCTGTAGCATTTGATACTATTTGACACCATTTTACCCACAATAGAACATCTTTCAAAATTGGAGTCAGTCCTCTCATACCCTGCTGTCCTTTATCAAGTAAATTTATGCAGGATACTAAATCTTTTTTTTGTCATTTTGACAAGGTTCATAGCATCTTCACCAGTAGACTACATCTCAAAAGAGCACTTTTTTTGCATATTCATAAGCATCTTATTCAAATTTTATCATGTGATTGCAGCAGCTCAGTCACAACTCAGAATTCACTTCTAATTTTAGTTATCCTGCTGTTTCCACCATATCTGTAGCACACTTCAGTGTTTTTCCCTTCAAGGTGATCCATGAGGGTTAGAATCACCTTCCAGACTCATGATAATGTTGATATTTTGATCTCTCACTATGAATCATTATTGTTCTTAATGGCATCTAGAATGGTGAATCCTTTCCAGAAGGTTTCAGTTGACTTCACCCAGATCCATTGTAGAATTACTATCTATTGCGGCTATAGATTTCTTTAATCATTGTATTTCTTGAATAATAAGACTTGAAAGTCTAACTCACTCCTTGATTCATGGACTACAGCATAGATGTTGTGTTAGCAGCATGAAAATAACATTAATCTTGTACATTTCCATCAGAACTCTTAGGCGACCAGGTACATTGTTGATACATAGTAATACTTAAAAAAAAATCTTTCTAAACTGTATGTAGGTGTCAACAATGGGCTTAAAATATTCATTAAGCCCTGCTATCATTCAGGATTTGTGGCTCCATTTACAGAGTGTACATGGAGTGAATTTAACACGATTTTTAAGGGCCTTGGGACTCTGGGAATGCTACATTAGCTCTTAACAAAAGTCAGCCTGTCCTTGGAAGCCAGACATTAACTTCTCTCTAGCCGTGAAAGTCCTACATGTCATCTTTTTCCAATAGAAGGCTCTTTCATGTACATTGAAAACCTGTTGCTCATTGTAGGCACCTCCATTTGTGATTTAGTTGGAGCCTCTGGATAACTTGGCGACCGCTTCTGGTGATACATCAGCTATTTCCTGCTTGATCTTGCACTTTGATATTGTATAGGTAGCTTCTTTCCTTAAACCTTGCGAGCCATTTTTTGCTGGCTTCAAAAGTTTTTTAGCACCTTCCTCATTTTCCCATCCTTCACAGAATTGAAGAATTGATAGCTTGATTTGGATTAGGCTTTGGCTAAAGGAGTGTGACTGGTTTGTTCTTCTACTCGCACAGCTAAATCCTCTGTATCAGCAATAAGGCTGTTGTAACTTCTTAATGTCTATGCATTCACTGGAATTGCACTTTTCATTTCCTTCAGGAATGTGTCTTGGGTATTCATAACTTGTCTGTTTGGCATGAGAGGTATAGATTTCAGCCTTTCTTGACTTTCAGCATGGCTTCCTCACTAGGCTTAATAAGTTCTAGCTTTTGATTTAAAAGTGTGAGATACAGGACGATTCCTTTTGCTTGAACAGTTAGAGGCTCTTGAAGGGTTATTCATTGGCCTAATTTCAATATTGGGTCTCAGAAAATAGGGAGACCCAGGGAGAGGGAGAAGGATAGGGGAGCAGCAGCAGTGGAAGTGTGAGAACACCACATTTATTGATTACATTCACTGTAACAAATGGGTGTGTTTGTAATGTCTCCAAACAGTTACTATAGTAACATCAAAGGCTAGTAACAGATGTAAAATAATGAAAAAGTGTGAAATATTGCAAGAAAGGCTGAAGTGTGACAAAGAGGCAGGAAGCGAATCCCTGTTGGGACCAGCAGTTAGCGTAATGGCTATGTCGCTGGACTCCCATGTAGTCGACCGTGATTCAAGTCCCGGGCCTGGTGGTTTAAACTCACGCTGGGCACGTGTGCATGCGTGCCCAAGATCCCGAGAAGAGAATGGAGGAAAAGGGATTACAGTGTGGCCACCCCCCCGGGGGGTAATCTTGCTTTCTGTCTCTCTCTGTCTCTCTGGTGAGCGCACGTGCCCTATAGCAAAAACCTCTCTTAAAAAAAAAAAAGAAAAAAGAAGTGAACCCCTGGTTTTGAAACAGTGGCGCTGATAGCCCTGCTCCAGGATTGCTGCAAACCCCCAGTTGTGAAAACACAGAATCTGCTGAGTTCAGTAGAGCAAGGCATGCCTCACTAAGCTCGTATGTTAGATATAAGCTGTGTGAGAAGTGGTTAGAGATAAGATTGTGAAGGTTGCAGGAACATGATAGCACAGGGCACTGAGACAACTAAGAGCGAGGATTTCTATGTTGTAAATTGTTTAGGTTTATGGGAAAACTCCGAACTTTTTTGAATGTTTGAATATTTTCATAGTCAAAGGGGGAAGAATGGTACAGACCCATATAGCCATCACCTTGATTTAAGTCAGCATTCTGGAGCTGTTAGTTTCATGTGTGTGTTATTGAACCATCTCAAAGTCACTTACAGATGTCATGACACTTCAAATATTCTAGCAGACATCGTTGAGGACATTTTCTTTCATAAAACCATGGTACTATTATAACTAATAACAGTAACTCTTATATAATATATAGTCATAAACTTTTTTTTTTTAAGTAAAAGCATGAATGAACTGATTAGGATAGAAGGTCATGAGAAGGTGAAGATAATAGCAGTAGGGTGAAGGAGTGGTTGTCCTGGGAGAGGCTAGTGTTGGCATCAGTTATACATACAGAAAATCAGGTGAGAAGTGCAGGCCTGAAGTCGGGTCATAAAAGCAGTGGAAATGACAGAAAGAGCGAGAGAGATCTTCCTTCTGAAGATGGGACTTTATCATTGACCTGAGAAATGTAGTAGCTCAGAATGAGTCCAGGGTTTCACCCTCTAGTGACTGGACCGAGACTAAGAGTAAAAAAGAACAGAAGCTCAAGGAGAGAAGCAGGTTCAGTAAGGAGAATGCATTTTGTTTTCTGGTTTTTTACTTGCTGAGTGTTTATTAACCATGGAGACATTGTGCACCCAGAGATTGGAGTGGGCTGGAAAGATGTCAGGGCTGAAGATTTGGGAGTTAACTTGTGCATGGATCGTGATTTAAATCATTAGAATGGATGGGTTATCCACGGAAAGAGTACAGAGAAAGGAGAGAAGGTGACTGAAAATGGAACTCTTAAAAGGAAGAGGATGGGGGAGTTACCAAACAAAATTTAAGCTGAGTAGAGGGTGATTGGTGACAAGAATTTTTGTGGTTGTTAAGGGACAATGGAGTTTTCAGAGAATAGAGTGGTCAGCATAGTTGGTAACTTTGAGATGTTCCCAAGATGTCTAAAGATTAAGAAGAAATTCTCTATTGACAAGTGATCTGTTCTTTGGCGATTAAGAGAGGTGCCTTGCCCAGAGCTCGTCGGTGATTTGTCACGTGCTGAATTATACTTAGATGTGTGACATGTGAGATAATTGTCAAAGGAGGCTCTGGGATATATCAGTAGCAGGGATTTGAAAAAGTTATGGGTGGATAGGAATCTACTTTCCTAGTAACATATGAGCTTTGAAATGGGAGCTTGTCATGTACACTGGCAATAGTTAGACATGTAGTAGGTATTTTCTAGTTGAATAGTCTTAGTACCATTATGATCATACTTGACCAAGTGTTCAACTTTTTCTTCCCTACAGTGAAACAGATTCAGACAGTTCAAGCTCTTCCTCTTCCTCATCTTCCTCATCATCTTCCTCTTCCTCTCATTTATCACTTCCTGCAGTGCTGTCAGATGGAGAAGATGACTTACAAATGGAGAAGGAAAATAAAAATTTTCCTCTTAAGACGAAAGATGAATTACTTCTTAATGTAAGTACTTAGACTTGTTAAGCTTGATTTGTATATTTTAAGAGAGGTTATGGTACTGATACTGATCTCATTTCATTCGGCCTGTAACTGTTCCATAAATCTGAAGTCTGTTCTCTACTTATTGGGCATTCTTTTGCCATGCCTTGGCTTCTTACATGGAAGAGAGGAGTGATCCTGGATAATTTATTTCTTTTTTAGTTTTTTGATGTTAAATGATCATAGCTTTATATAGGAAGTTGCAAAAATAGGAGAGAAGTCCTGCTTACCTTCCCCTAGTTCCCACCATAGGTAAACCATAGTACATGAAAGAACCAGGAATTTGACAGTGCAGTTCAGGAAACATATTCAGATTTCACCCATTTTACATACACATTTGTATTTATGTGTGTACTTCCATGAAATTTTTCACAAGTGTTTATCTCATGTGATCACTACAGTCAAGACAGCGGTTTCTTAATCTCGAGAAACTCCCTCCTGCCACCTCTTATGGTCATGTGCATCACCCTCTTCTCTTTACCCCATCCTAAACTCTAGTGACTGATCTGTTCACCCTATCTATAATATGGCCATTTTGAAATGTTACCTGAGTAAAATCACTTTATGTCCTCTTTTTGAGGTTGGCTTTTCACTCAGCACAATGACCCGAGGGCCATCGGGTGATTTCTGAGGGTGCTTCCAGCCGTGACATTTGATGATTTTCTTACTGGGGGCATCAACTTTAGCTTGGTACTTTCTAGTTTTTAGCTTTCCTACCAGACACTTACATAGATTTATACCTTTGCTTCTTTTTTTACCTCCTTGTTTACCAGTCAGAAAATTCTGCTCAGTAGCAATTAAAATGGCCTCTTTAATTGATTGCTTTTAGAGAAATAATAAGAGAAATTCAGGAGTTTAATCTTTTAGGATTCTGATTGACTTGAACTCTTTGGGATATCTTTGTACATCATAGGAGGAGATAAACTTGTTTATTATAGAATGGTTTCTGTTGGCACTTGATAGTTTTGGTTTGCAAAATTATCTCCTGTGAGGTTTTTCCTATAAAGCTGTAAATACCCCTACAAGGATGCAGGCAGTCTGGTTGAAACCTGAGACTCAGGAGAAACATTGCTGAATTTCAATTTCAGAATGTAGTCTGTATTGTCACATGTTTTCCCTCTGCTACCTTTTCAAAATTTAATGATCAGTATCACAATTATTACATAATCCTTAAATGAAGAAGGTGATTTATCATAAGATTAAAAAAATAAACAAAGCAAACTTAAAAGCCCAAGAATAATCAGGTGTCTTTTTCATCACTGTTTAGATTCTACCAATATTAATGATTTTTTTCTCTACTCATAAGAAATAACTTGTTTCACTTCTGCCTTGTGCATTGAAAGCCTTTAGATTTGTATGCAACCTCATAGTGCTTTGTGTTACCATGCTGCAAATGTGTCGGTATTACTTATGGTCTTTTTACACAGAGGCTCTCAGACGTATAACTTTTCTGAAAGTATTGGGAGACTTGACCTCTTGCCTTTATCTTGATCACCTTTCTGCATAAGTTCCCTCTAAGAGCATAAAACCCAACAAAATAAAAGACCACAGAACTTTGTAAATGCGTATCATTGTTCTAAGTAACTTAGTAGATCTGGGGTTCTAACCTTGGGAATCTCTTGTAATGTAATGTACATTTTTAGCATATTCGTTTAGGTATTTACCTGGGTAGAACGTCCATGTTTTCATCAGAAAATCAGAACGAGTCCATGGAGGAGACTGGGACCCGTGTTCTCTGAGGACTGAATTCCTTTCTGGTCCTAGAGCTGCCCTGTGCCCTGCACAGTGTTTTACAGATGATGGTTTCTCAGGCGGAAGTCATAAGTGATTATGGAATGAGTGCCTTTGTAGGCATTTTATATTCATTTGTTCTTTTTAAGGAATTTTTACAGCTCAGCTGCTGTATGCCAAATGTTCTATGTGAGACAGTTCAGTTGCTGCTGTCATAATGGTAGTGGGGGGAGACAGTAAATAAAACGAGACAAGTAAATTTAACTGTTAGAAGTGCTGTTGAATCATGTGAGTGTGTGTTTGACTCATATCAGAACATTCTCTGTTCAATGGGAATGTATGCTAGCTTTTAAGACGTGAAGCAGTCTTAGGGGTCTGTTCCTTTTCAGTGCCATTTCCAAGGGATCTTTGGGAGAGATGAAAGAAACAGTCTTTTTTTTTTTTTTAAATTTAAATTTCAGACTTTTGATTAACCATTTTATTCTATGTTTATGAGACTAGGAAGAAAATTTATTTGGAGTTTCTAGTTCTTTTGACCACCCTGCTGCTAGAGATAGGTAGAGGAATGATGAGCTCAGGTCCCCCCTAAATCTAAAAGTCGATTAGGACTCCTTCAGGGTCTCTACCCTGGAGTTCAGGGAAGGCTGGTATGGCTACAAGTATGTAGTGTATTCGGGACTCAGCCTCTTTCTCTCTTGCTCTGAAGGTAGGGCTGGCAGTTTGTTACTGACACTCAGGTGGTCTTGTGGGGGGTGTTTGTCCTGGCATACCTGGGGCCTGTACACAGCTTTTATCAAAAGTCACTGAGGCGTGGGTGGGATGGTTAAGTCTGATAGTCTTTAGAGGGAAAG